ACATTGAGTTATCTCTGTCTCTCTCTCAGCTGACTGCCATACAGTTCTTCTTCTTTATCAATACCTTTTTATCTTGTAAATGGATAAATATTATAAAGCAGTGAATTATTGTTCTCAAATGGTTGGAGGCAAGTGGCAGGAAGCCTTGGTTGTACCTAGGTCTCGTCAGTGAGGCGTATCTATGACTTTGAAGAGAAAGTTATCTCCCCTCTGAGATTCGAACCCGTTTCACTCAGTGGTGCTGCTATTCGGGCTCGCTATTGACCTCTTGTGCAAGGGCATTAGATACTTTGACTGAACACTAGGCAGTAAGTAACCCGTGTAACTCATCTAATTCTCTGTATGCTGGTGCAAACTGAATTCTATCACGGAAGTTACATCGACTGAGATGGTTAGGACATGTGTTACGTATGCCTAGTCATCGCCTTCCTCAACGGGCAATGTTAGCTGATATAGGGCCAGGCTGGAAAAGAGCTAGCGGCGGTCAAACCAAAACATGGCACCAGTCAATGAAATCCACAACAGTTAGTCTAGGCCACGTAGACTTCCTGGTTTGGGTCCCCGGGACGGTAAAAGCCAATGGCTGGAAACAACTGGTTACATGGCTCAAAATCATTCTCAATGGCTAGCTCAGATACATCCACTCCTTGTGACTTATGATTTCCGATGAAACTGTTTTGTTTTTCGTTATTACTATTCTTCTGTTTACTGTCTCTATTATGCATTTCTTCTACTTTCTTCTCTTGCTTTGTGTGCTACATGGAGTGAGTGTGGAGAATTGAAGTGCCGCACATATGTGCAAAGTTCTATGTCGAAAACAGACAGACAGACAGACGGAAGTTTGCTTGTGTTCATCAAGTTACATGACCTACCATGATCAGGGTTTGAATCTCAGAAGGGTTATCAACACATTCAAGATTCCAAACACGCCTTACTGACAAAATTTAGGTCCAAGGCTTCCTGCCGATTTCTTCCAACCATACAATAATAACAACAGTAATTCTGTTCGCACTATAATGATGAGCCCATTAAGTATGGTGACCACATTGTAAACTTGACTGATAAAATTCAGTCTGTACCAAACAACAGACTAGACACATGATATTAGTTATTACCTAGTGGCTAATCAAAGATTGTACTATTATTATTATTATTATTACTCCCTCTCTCCTCTGCAGTCTTTTTAAGCTGGCTCCATGACTGTCCATAAGGTTTCACCTGCTTCACATAGGATCTCCTCCAGCTGACTGCCTCCTATTCTGATTCCATTCAAGGATCTTTATAAAATGAAACATATATCAGTATTGGAAAATATGCAGATGAAAAAATCAGACGTTTGATTGATCACCTTTTTTACCTAGAATAATAAAATAGCATAGAATAATCTTTCTGTGTATATACCTGAGGAAGAAATTGAATTGTGATGAAAACTCTGTGAGCTTTTATTTTTAGAGCATATTGATAACACCTTATGCTTACAATATCCCATCTGCTGTGACATTTACCAACTGACAACATCCTTGGCTTAGTAGACGTGATATCCGGCTATTGTTCAAAGGACATGTGTACTGGTACTGCATTTCACTCTGTCCTCCTCTATACCTTTGAGATATGACCTTTGGAAGTGGAAGACATGAAAAGGCTGGCCAGCTGTCTTTGATTATAGGTGTCTACGTTCTATCTCCCATGTTAAATGGTATAATAGCGTGCGTAAGACTGATGTGTTAGGTGAAGTGTTGGATAAGGAGGGTGAGTCAATAGATGAGGTGGTGAAGCGACTGCATTGAGTGAGATGGTTAGGACATGTGTTACACATGCATCCCTAGCCATCGTCTTTCTCGACAACGGGTAATGTTAGCTGACATAGGATGAATCAGGTTGGAAAAGAACTAGAGGTAGTCAAACCAAAACATAGCTTCATCAGTCCATAAAATCTTTCACAATTAGTTTGAGCCAGCCATTTAGGGAGGTTTAGACTGCCTAGTCGGAGCCTTCGGGATGATAAGAACCAATGAAGGCTGGAGACTATAGGTGATACGGTCAGAAATAGTGTTCATTCACTCTTTGCACAGAAGTGCGAAGTTGTGTGTTGAAACCAGTCAGTCAGGTTAAGATCCAGCAAGTGAATTTTAAATGAATGCGACTGTCTCTAATTATTATTACTATTTGAAGTTATACTTTTAACTGTTTTTCTCCTATACTTGTTAAAAGTAGTTCAAATGGGCATGTTATCTTCAATAAACAAATTACTGATACTTGGTGTCATTTATTTCATATAACATGGAGAAAGGTTTTATAAGCTAATTCTATTAATACCTGAAGAATGATCTTTGTCTTCTTATTTGAGGTCAATTAAAATTAAATTGTGAGCCTATATTCTTTTTTATATGCATCAACAAGGTGTATTTGAAAGAGTTAGAAGGCTTATATCCCTTTGACATTTAAATTTACGTGACTTTTAGAGAGGTGAAGTGTTTTATTTTTGAGTTGTTCAGGTCAACATTGACTTTTTCTGAGGTCGAATCATCAGTATGCTTTTTTCATCGCGAATGTTGATTGATTAGGTTTTAGGAGTATCGTTTTTAGTATGCTGTAATACTCCAGCTTGAAAAGGTTTTGTTTATAGTTGGCTCTTTAAAGTCGGTTGTGCAGCGGTAGGATGCTGGCCAATCGCGACGCACATAGTGCAGCGTTTGATCCTTGGCCGATGACGCACTCCTAACTGACAGGAGGATCGTGAAAGAGGGGAGGTTTGGCGTGAGACTACGAAGCCCACCCCATAGAAAGGAATAGCATCATTGCTGCTGAGACTTAGGGACTCAAGCCCGTATCCGTAGGCTTCAACTAGAACTCAAAAGAATAGGAATAAGAAATCATGTCATATATTTCACATTGTTTGAAAGTATTGTGACGTTTTCGTGGTACTTCACCAGTCCCAAGTATGAAGACGCATCTGCAGCTCCGACACCATGGAAGAAGAACTAAACTTCCTGAGGGAAGTCCCAAGTATATCCAGCTTTTTTAAATCCCAGCATTTCTGGAGACATATTGATGAAGATTTGGTAGACGGGATTAGTCCTTATAGAAAATGTAATGGAAGTAAGAATAATAGAAGTTATCTACTTTGCACATAAGAGATATCCTAATGACGAGATTAAGCATGTGAAATAATTGTTTTTACAATCATTCGCTTTGGTTCCAGGTGGAACTTAGAGCTTGAAAAGCACATCTCCATTTCATCCTGTTTTCTGCAGTTCTTTTAAGTTGGCTCCACGGTTTCCCATAGGCTGTCATCTCCTCCTCACAATGTCTCCTCCATATCACCCTTGGACACACACACACAACTCATTGTGTAGAAAAAGGGGAGGGGAGGAGAAAACAGAAAAATCCAATAAACTCGAGAAGGTTATAGTTCATTAGATTGAGATTTGCTCGCTGAGGTGATATCACTAATGTGGAAATGACTAATCATTATAATCATCGTCGAAATGCAGTAACCATGGGAGAGAGAAAATGATCACATTTGATTTCTGCATGCATAAGTTTGGTTTGAAACGTTTGTTTGCAACTGCTTCAACAGTAAATCGTAGGCAATTTGGTGTCCTTTATGTATTTAATATTTCTAGTAGTTTGAAAATATCAGCGAAATGGCCCGTATCTATTCACAAGGTGTTTTGTGACTGCACTTTGTGAATATCTGCTTAGCTTCAAGCGTAATTTTCTAAGGATATTGCTCAGAAAACCTGATAGAAGCCCTTCTTTTTGCCCTCCCAATGTACTTGCTCCACCAAGTGCCTGTAAATTTATAAATACATTTGTAAATCAAATCAGTAGGCTACCTTGATATAAGAATAGAACCTGTGCACTGTGGTAGAGTATAATCCCATTGTGGGTAAAATTCATTTTGATAAAGTCTCACAGTGTTGTTATACAGTAATGTTTACTGATGGCCACGTTTTGAGCACAATTTATTGCTCATAATCATATCAAGTTGCGTGAGTACCTTGATATTATTAGGAGCGATAAACTGTGCTCAAAACGTCACCAGTAAATAATACTGTACAACAGGTTATCTACCCAGATTAGATTGGTTTATTGAGCATGTAGTGCTGTATAGTGTTCCTAGCTTAGCTGCAAGGAAGCATTTTTTTTACTGCTGATTTCATTTGCTTGTCAATCTTCTGTGATATCGCTTCTCCTTCAGATGGTAGACAAATAAACACTCTTCAAGTATTGGTTTGTAGGGATTTGGTTGATTGGTTGCAGGATTTCATCATGAGCTGACATTGGTTAGAGAACCATTGTAAAACCTGGGAGTACTGGACAGCTGTTTCGTCCTAGTTTGGGACTCTTCATCAGTACGCATCCGCCGGGGTTCGAACCCAGGAGCTTCTGGTTACAAGGCGATCTCGTGTACCATTAAGCCACTGGGACCCTGATCCAATGGCCCATGAATTCTAACTTCTGCCAAATAAATACTCTCTTCTTTTCAAAGGTCTGGTGTTCCATTTTCCTGTCGTCTTCTTTGCTATACTTTAGGATTAACGCCTCTGAATATCCGCTATCTCTTAGGTATTTCTCAACAAAGTCTAATTCCTCTCCTCTGGCTTTTTGGCTGAAGAAAACTTCCTAGCTCTGTTGTATATAGTGTCCTCACTATTCCCCGCCTACAGCATATAGGACAGGTGTTGTAGTGAAGATATCTTGTGGGGTTTAAGCTTCTTTTTTATAGATGGAATTTCCGATGCTACCATCGTTTCTCCTTCTTCTTGACACATTAGGATCCAGAAAATTGAACCACTTCGTTATATTCGTATTCCATAGTGAATTTTTTAACGTTAGGATAGATCTCATTGAGACGGTCAAATAATTAATACATGATACGTGATTCACGCTGCAAAATTTATAATCTTTCTTACTCTGTCGGCATTTATCAAGGGAACAATGTTGATTTTTAATTTTGTTTTGTTTTGTTTGTTTTTTCATTTCCCTGTCAACAGATTTCTCATTGAAACAAAAAACGTTGAAATGGAAGTCGAAATCTTCAGAAATTTTAAAACAAAATCTGATAAAACAACTTAAAACAACTCCTTCTTCTCATAGAAATTGTAAAAGTTCACTATACTTGAATAAATCATCACAGTCAAATAGAAATGTGTCAGTCAGACATAGTAAATCAGTGAATGTGTATAATAAATGCATAGAAAGTAATCCTGATAATGAAATGATCCAGTCAACTGATTTCAACTCTGATCCCAATACAACAAGGAGTAATCATAGTTATTACTGTAAGTCACCATCGACATCATCACCATCTCAATCGTCATCATTACCTGATGATGCCAGTGAGCTGGAACAACGTCGATGGAGAATGCAAGTCAAGACATATTTAAATGCAGCTGCTCATGCAGAACAATTAATTCGTAATAAATATTCACCGACAACACTGCCAACAACAACAACAACAGCAACAAGAATCACAGAACAATTTAAATCATGGTTAACTAGTGTCAATGCTAGTAGTAACGCGAAATCACGTAATCGAAATAATAAACAAGACAAGCAGAGTAAGAAATGTATTCATGAAAATAAGAACAATAATGAGAATATTTTAATGGATGTATCCAGTGGAATAAAATTGCCTGACATGAAACAGAGTAAACATCATAGTCATGTAAATGATGCGTGGGACTCTCAATCTCAGACATCTACGAATAATAATGTTGATACAGAAGAAGGAGAAGACGATGATGACGACGTCGACGAGGAGGAGGAGGAGGAAGCAAGCGAAATGAAAGCTAATAATAAAGATGGTGATGATTCGAATGAGCCTTTAAATTTTTGGGATGATTATCAAGTGAGTTTTATTTTTGGTAGATTTCCATTCTCCCTTTATTTCATTGAGAACCGATATGTTCTCGGCCTCTGTCGACATATTGGCTCCCAGTACGCAAACGCTTCGAAGATGTTGGAGGAACTGACTTGAAGTAATCTAGTGGATGGTGACTAGCAGTGGTGGGTTGCAGGATGTGAATTTCGTCTTGTTTTGGACTCGTCAACTGGATACACCTGCAATTCACAGTTGGTAGCGATGGTGTTTCCACTGAGACTCGAACCTAGTACCCTTCGTTTCAAACGTCTAAGCCTTATACACTCGACCACTTGGGCCACAGGAGCCAGCTCTTGTGCGACTGGCATTAGATATGATTTGTTTAAGTTAATTTTGATAACTCTTTAGTGTTTGAAATGAAAGGTGCTAGGTTCAAGTCTCAGTGAGAACACCATCACTCCCTGGATACTGCAGGTACATCCAGTTGACGAGCCCTGGATGGGACGAAGTGTGTATCCTGGATTCTACCACTGCTAGACGCCATTCACCGAATTACTTCATGTTAATCCTCAGAAATCATCGAAAAGTTGGTACTACGAGCTTATATGCCAACAGAGGCTGAACATGTCCGTTCACAATCAATCAGCAAGAAAATCAAAACTGATTTACAAAGAAACTATAGTTAATATTGTTCATGAAGAAGACTAGTGTGCTTCTAATCGATACGAAAATAATATTTAGATATGACTGAAATGTGATTTACAGATGTGACATTTTAATAAATTTATTTCATTCAAATTAAGTGGGGCTTCTTTTAACATTCACTGAACTATACCTTCAATATAGTGATTGCATAATCACCAGTAGTAAGTAGTGGTGATCAACACGTATATTTTTGAAATTTAATGTTAAACGTAAAACATGAGTTGTGCTCACAATTTATTTGATTAAATGAAACTTTGATGACTAAGAAGAATAGAATGACTCAGAAGAATCACGTAAAATACAAACAAGTTAAGAGAATTAGCTAGAATTGTAGAAATTGTAAAAATTAACAAAGTCAAAAGATAGTTACAAGGAGAGGGGAAAACATCGTTTTTATAAACTTAATACATATTATGTAGTGGGTGGCCAAGGCAAAGAAAGGAGCTTTACAAATTCCTTTTGAACTGACGCGCAGATTTGGCTTGTTCAGATGAATTCCGATTGCCTCTGCTGTGTGTAAATGTTGTACTCGTAGACCATGTGGAGAGAGGTTGGGTGATATACGATAAGTAACTTTAAAAGCTTTGTTAGAGTCAACTTGATGTACAGCCAATTTCGACGAGATGAGCTAGTATTGAACTGCGTATAGCTTTATTCGGACCTTTGCCGAACCACGATGGTAGGTAGGTAGGCCTAAGAATCAACTTATCTTGAATTCCGTAATTAATCAATTTCCACCCTTCTTTTAAAACTTTGATATCTTGTTACTAATATCTATTAGTTAATTGTTTTGATGACCTTTAACCTGTTAATTTCACCCCGCCCCCTGTGTCTATAACTGATTAAGTAAAATAACCGTTTGGTTGGCAATTGAAATTTTGATGTCAAAAACTATATATTAGTGTAGAGCCAGTCAGTCAGCCAGCCAGCCGATGATGAGGAAGTAATTGAAAATGAATGCATATTTTTCCCTCAATCTGTTCTGTTTTTACTAAATGCGTGAATGGGAATTTGGAATTTACTAAATGGAATTTCATCATGAGCTGACATCAGTTAGAGAACAATTAGAAACCCAACTGGGAGTATTGGACAGCTGTTTCATCCCAGTCTGGGACTCTTCAATGGTACGCACCCACTGGGGTTCAAACCCAGATCCTTCTGGTTTCAATGGTTCATTAACTGAGATGTCAGCTCACGATGTAATCCTCCAACCAATCAAACAAAAATTCCCTACAAAACCAATACTTGAAGGCATTTAATAATTGATAATTTATTATTACTTTTTATTCCTTTATGTTCCGAGTGAAACATAGGGGGCTTCAAACTGGAGCTTTGAAGTTTCAGTAGCAGTGGCTTTTTGTCTCTACTAGATGAAGTTGCTAACCTCAAGACTAACCTTCCCTGTTTATCTCACTTACTACCGGCTGAGCGAGGCTTAAGAATGCGTCGGTGGCTGACAGTCGAACCCCGGACCACCGCGAAAGGCGTGGTTAGCGAGCATTATTCTACCACTGAACCACGCACGACGCAATCATTGATAAAATTACAATAAATTATTCTTTCTTTTTATCCATTAATTTTTCTCTAGGCATCACTCTATTCAAATACAAGTGATGTTCAAGCTTATGAATCACCGAGAACTTATGCTGAAGAATTTCCATGGGATGATGACGAGGACAGTCCATTATTTCTCATTGATGATGATAACGATGTGGATGATGATGGAAAAGAATTAAAGTCTACTTCAAATAGTTGTACAGAATCATTTTATAAATTGATTAAATCTTTATCAAACAATGATTCACACGATGGAGATTATGGACAAGATACTATGGATATCATATCAACATCAACATCAGCTTTATTTCATCTAAAAAGTAATAGCATTAGTAGTAGTAGTGTAGAAACAAGTTTAGAAATAGACCAAAATAATCATCGTAATAATAATAATAATAATACTAATAACAACCATTCATGAATTATTCTCAACGATTAGAAAGTTGTTCACCGGAGTATGCAAGTAATTTATTGACTAGTCCTAATCCATCTGTTCATGGTTTACGTACATGTCCTGATGGCGGTTCACAATATTTACCAATGATAGAAACAATGGATATTGTTTCAGACGTAAGATCCTCTGTTTGTTTTTTCCTTTGTTTGTTACTTTTTTGTTGTTGTTGCTGTTAAGTTTCATTGTTTCAAATTTGATCACAGATTGATATCAGTTAGAGAACCATTGGAAACTAGGAGGGAGTACTGGTTGGTGGCTCCAACATAGTTTGAAACTCTTCAGTGCTGCTTACCCACACAGCCAGGGTTCGAACTCAGAACCTCTCGGTTACAAGACGAGTTCTTATAATAAGCATAAAAATGTAATAGTAAATAGAATATCAAATAAAATTGAGGATCATTAAAACCTTGATGGCCAAAGGAGTAAGGACAGTGTCTCAAGCAGCTTTGTGCCTTTGAAGTACAAACGCAATCTGATAAAGTGCTTGATCCATAGAGCAAGAGCATCTGCTTTGATGAATGTCTTAATGAAGAGCTTAATATTATTAAACAGTTGCTCAGTGAGAACGGTTACTCGGAAAAATTCATCGATAAGAATATGAATCAAAAGTCAAGACAGGTCAAAGTACCAATAGTTCCGAAAAAGGTCCTATTCTTACAACTTCAGTTCCTCGGAGATAACATAAGTGAGATATATAACACAACGCCTAAGGATTGCGGCAAAATGAGTATTCAGTACTGCTGAATTATGCTTTGTCTTCAAAATCACCCCCATTTTGTGTTCGGGAGTAAAAGATTAATTGCCTAATTTCGCCTCTTCTATGTGGATCTACCAGTTTGACTGCTCCTGTGGAGTTACCCACATAGGTCGTACAATTAGGCATGTTTATCATCGGATTTCCGAACATCATCCCACGTGATTGAGTAAGGGATAAACAAAATCCATACATAACTCTATTCTATCTCATTGCATGGATACAGAACACAAGATTGATGTTAAGAAGGCAGCTTTCAAAGTCATCTGCCGCATACCAACTAATCTTAGCTTTACCTTAAGAGTTCGTCTATTACACATATTGCTGAGGCTGGTTGTTGGGATTCACATTAAGAAACTTAACTTATGTATCCAAAAGAAGTTGGTTCGGACACTGTCCGTAACTTGGCCATCAAAGTTTTAATGATTCTCAATTTGTTGTGGGAATTTCCTTAATTTTATTTGATATTCTCTCAAGTCTGTGTGGAGGTCAGTAGCACTCAGCATGAAAAATAAGATGCGGATTTTCAACTCCAGTGTGAAGTCAGTGCTACTATACGGATCAGATTCTTAGCGCGTCACGAAGGACACTTCGAACATGCTACAAACTTTCAACAACAGCTGTCTTCGCTCAGTATTTCGCTGAAGGTCAGATGGCCATAAATGATCAGCAACAGGAATCTCTAGGGGCGAATCAACCCATCAGAAACCAATTGTGCAAAAAATATGCAGGAAGAAATGGAGGTGGATTGGCCATACCCTGAGAAAACTATCAAGTGACATCATACGCCAGGCTATCGCTCGAGTGGAACTCGAATGGGAAGCGGCGAGTTGGTCGTCAGTGCGAGGGTGGAGTGACGTGGAGGAAGTGATGTGAGGAGGAGATGGAAGCATGTGGACAGACGTGGAGCCAGGTGAAAATGTCGGCAGAGAACCTAACGCAATAGAGACATGCGGCTGAATCCCTTTGTTCCTCTAGGAATTAAAGGAAACAATAATAATAATTTTATGTGTATTATAACTTATGCATCTTTCTTGAACTGTAATTTCATTGATCTGAACTAATAAATGTTCAGATAGACATAATCGATAAAGACTAAAAAGAACATATAGTCAGAATAGGTAATGTCAGATTGTAAGGGAAGTAAATAAACTATTTTTCCATGAAAGTGTAATAATTTGTTTTGAATTCAATTTTGATTCGCCCCATTTATTGATTGAACGGAAATGCTCTGTGTTGATGTGTCGGCGCCTAGTAAGGACGTTTCGACAATATCCGTAATGATTAACTTGATGCCGAATATTTCAGCCCAATCAATGGGAAAAATCAAAATTGAATTAAAATTAAATAATAACTGATTCCCCTTGCACAAGTAATGGCTCTCATGGCCTAAATGGTTTAGTAGATAACGCTTCGGCGTTTAAAATGCTGAGGGGAGGGGGAACTGCGTTCGAGTCTCAGTGAGGACACCATCACTCACTGTGGAATACAGGTACGTCTAGTTGACGAGTCCTAAATAGGATGAAATTTACATCCTGGACTCCACTTTAAGAAAGTGTAATAATATTACAGACTGATGAGAAAGCAGTGGTGGTGGTATCGTCAAGTGGTTAAGTCTTAACTGGCCAAGAATGGAATAACGACTGTACGAACTTCTTCAAATGCATAGTGTAGGTTTAATAGATTGAATGTCAATGTCCTAATATATATATATATATATATATATATATATATATATATAGTAGGCAAATATGGAGACCATTATAATGATTCGATAGGATGCAATAAATCGCCTCGAGTGCTCCCGTTTTTCCCCACTGTTTGACGGCTATCAACTGCGAATGCAACAAAACGAATCTTCGGTTTTTGTTTTATCTCACGAAAAATACCTATCCAGACTTGAATATAAGAACAACAAAGTTCAGCGAAGAGTCTCTTTTCGCCGGCCAATTCATTCACTTAACTGTGCAATCTCATTTATATATAATTATTTTGTGTGTGTGTATGTGTGTGTGTGTGTACATAACAATTGTCAAACTAAAATAAAAATTCGTTAGGGTTATTGCTTACATCATCAAAGTGTTTCTAAAATGTGATGAATAACCAAAATTGTAACTAGGGTTGGGGTGTGAAGATTGGTAAGCATTGATAAGGGTTGCGTAATGTGAAATAGGATGTTAGTAGAAATATGTGTACAAAAATAAATTATGTAATAGATAGAAAGTGTAAATAGAGGGTTGGTTATGAAGAAGATGTTACTAAGATGTCATATAAAAATTCAAAAAACAAAAAAAAGAAAACAAAACATCATTAACAAAGTATAGCGAAAATATTCACTCAGACATCTATAAAACACAAAATAATCGAGGAAAGAATATCCTATTCGATAATTTCCTCTTCTGGCTCTACAATTATATATACGTTTATATACATAAAATATTCTAGATTAGTAGTCAGTAACAATATTGGTGTTTTTTTAAATAATATCGATTTGTAAAGGAAGATCACAATGGAATTACATTTCATTGAAGATGCTTGAATTATAATAATAATAAAGATATACCAGTAAATAGAATATCAACTAAAATTAGGAAAATTCCACAAAAATTGAGGATCATTCAAACCTAGATGGTCAAGGTAAGGATAATGTCTGAACTAGCTTCTTTTGGATGCACAAATTAGGCTTCTTGATGTGGATCCCAACAACCAACCTCAGCAATATTTAGTAGTCGAACTCTTAAGGCGAAATTGAGATTTGTTGGTCTGCGGTAAATGACCCTGAAAACCTGTTTAACACCTATCTTGTGTTCTGTGTCCACAAAGTAGCGCGACTTGGAATTGTCTGTCAATTACGAAAGAAACCACGACACCCAGCATAACTGCCTTCATCACATGAACAACTGAAGTGATAAATACACATAGATATATAGCAAAACTATCTAGCTTATCCTTCGTTTGAGTGGCTCACAGATCAAATAATAATTCAGTGGTATATTTTGTAATTGAAGTACTGGAAAGACACGGGTTTAAATCTCCCTGATTTTGTCATATCATCTGCTCCGAGGTAGGTAGAAGATAAACCTTACAAGGCGTAAGTATTCGTACGCAGGCATGAAACTTCCAGCTGTTTAACTTGTTTTTTCATGTCACTTCATCGTTTATCTGTTGTTGTTGTTTTTTTGTTGTTGTTGTGTTTTGTAGACTAATGCAGAAGGATTCAATAATGATCCTGTGAATAATTTCACCTCGCGCCTGTCTTCACCATATTCAATGTACTATCGAAAACAACAACAAAAAGTAGTACCCAATGCTTATGATAAAAAATCTCAAACTATTCCTCGTACTACTTTTGCTTCTACTACTGCTGCTGCTAGTAGTAGTAGTCCTCTAACGGTTACTGGTAAAAATCGTAAACGGAAAGCACAAATGACGTTATTTCATTCATCAGATAGCCAGGGCATTAAACGTGAATTTCTATCCTTTGATAATAATTTAAATTGTTGTCTACAGAATAATCGTAATTTCAGTGATATTCATAAAGGCATATTAGAGCATTCGGAGACACGTTTATCAAATGCAGAAAACTACTTACAACATTTACTAATTGCAATGAGAAAGACTAGTAAAGCGAATCGACGAGGTGAGTATACGATACAATACACTTTTTTTTCTATTTTTATTTTAATGGATTATTATTGTTCCCCCTTTGGATCCCAGGGTGGAACATTGGGCTTCAGCAGAACATCTTCACTTTGTTGTATTCTTTGTAGCTGTCTTTAGCTGGCCCCCAAATCGCCCATAAACTCTCATCTCCCCCCTCCACACGATCTCCTCCATGTCACCCTCAACTCCAGGCCCAACTCGTCGTTTCACTTGGCGATCTCCTCAGTGTCTGTCTCGTCCACCTCCATTTCTTTCACAATATTTAGTGGGCGATAGGTTCTTGATGGTTGGCCATCTGATCTTCTGTATGCAGCCAGTGAAAGCGGCTGTCGATAAAAGACTGCGGTCTGTCGGAAATGTACGCCAAGTTTCTAACCCATAAAGAAGAACTGATTAACTTAACGTATGTTGTTCCTTATGCTTAATACACAGATTTCCACAGTGATTTCATAGTAATGAAGGTCTGCCTAACCTTTCTGATTCCTATTTTGACATCCTGATCCGTTCCGCGTGTAGTTGAAATGATGCTGCCTAAATTTCTTCTGTTTCTAGTGATTGTTGCTTGTTGTTGTTGATTCGTAAGTTTTCTTCATCACCTCCGTCTTCTCTATATTCAGCTGAATTTTGGTCTTTACTGCTTCCTCTGCTGCCATCTTGTTGGTTTTCTACTGTAGATATTCGAATCTCTATGAAACTAAACAATAAATCGTCCTCGAAGTTCAGTTGTTCTAGCGTCTTCTTATCTGTCCAACGTATCCTTATCTTCTCGCTTCACATGACCTGCCGCATGCTTGAGTTCACCGCAATCGGGAATATCATCGTAGATCTTACTGCTGTCTTCACTTCAAAAGCACCGCTGATCTCAGTTGTGGATCACTTGATGTATTCATATATGTATATCCTATCTTATTTCAATTACTTGCCTATTTCACCTAAGGTTATTGCGATTGCAGTCTGTATCAAGAAAATATTTACCTTAAAGTGTTTATGTTCAGGGATTCGGTCGATTTCATGGTTGATTACAAATTGACACTAGTTAGAGAACCATCACTGAAAACCAAAAGAGAGTTCACTGGATAGCTGTTTTGTCCTTGTTTTAGGCTCTTCCTCAACAGTACACACTCATGATCCGATCAAGGATCGACCATACGATATTTATTTCAGGTTAGAAGGTGAACTTGTATACCGTTAGCCAATGGTAGAGAATCTAATGGTTCATGATGTGTAACTTCTGTGAACACATGATACATAGAGTAACCGCCAGGTAAATGTCATCAGCGAGTGTTTGTTCTCACACCCAACCTGGTGGGACCGCACTGGTCACCAGCACTTCTCACTAGAGGGAGCCTCAGACAACTTCATCCTGTCTGACTAGCTGACTGGTTTCAGCATAGAACTTTGCACAGAAGTGCAGCATTTCGAATTGTTATACTCAGTTTGACACACAAAGGAAGAAAAAAGCGATTCAGAACTACGATAATAAGAGGAAAATTCAGGAAGAAATAATAGTAACATGGAAAAACAATAAGGTCTTTAATGGATATGGGAGATCATAAAGAGTGAATACATCTGTGCCATCACTGAGAACGATCGATAGCTGTTACCTTGATTTGATGGTCGGGTTTGTATATCACAATGACCCAACAACCTACACTGACTAGAACTAATGCTTCTGCAGGTCCTATCACGCCAGAAAGATTGTTAGGATAGCGAAAAGATTAAAAGTAACTACCGTCATAAATTAAGATTTTTTACACTATGTTGTGGGGGTTGTCGGGCAAAGTTTTACTGCTGAGGAACAGGGATATAACAGCCATAGTAAGGTGTCTCACTCAGTTAATGGCCAGCATACCAGGTATGCTGTCTCTCCACTCTGAAGAGCGGTGGGGGATTAGAAAAGGTCAACCCTAAAAATTTGTGCATCCTGACTTATCCTACGGTAGTTTGTAGCTGGCGGTAAGTTCCTAATAAGGGAAAAATTCTAAAAACCAAATCATGCAGGTCGTGTGTATGATCGGCCTCAAGCAGTTGTCCCGTAGGTTTTGTGGTCACGCAACACTAAGTGTCTTTCTGTTTCAGACGCCCAAAGAGAAAATCAACTTCCACAGTGTGGGCAGTTGGGAAGTAGCAACCGCCCACACGATACTCTCCTGATCATCGCCTACCTTTATTTACGTCACTTCATCCTGTAGCGCTAAATGTTGGCATAAGTTAGAACTCATGCGCCATTGGATTCCGTCTCACTGTGCCATAATGGTCTACGAGCTCGCCTTGTAACCAGAAGGTCCTGGGTTCGAACCCTGGTGGGGTCAGTGCTGCATGCTGCTGAAGAGTCCCAAATGTGGGCCAAATGGTTATCCAGCACTCTAACTAGTCAATGTTGAAAATATTTATCATGAATCCGTACGCGTTACTAGATGACGAGAAACTTACATTGTTCTTTCTTTAAAGAAGACGATTAAGGGAACACACTGTATGCGTTTCTTGAAGAAACTTGGATTATGTTAAAGTTAATGTTTGGCGATACTCGCCCCTCTGTCTCTAAATCTCGTTTAAGTGAAGTTGAAGGTTTCAACTCATGGTTTTCTGATTGTTTGGTGAATATAGCTACACCGATTAGTCATGCCATCAAATAGATATTTATCAACACCAGTATCATTTTACAACCCTTTTTTTAAAATCATGGTTGCTGTTTTTAGAAATTTGTTTTCGTTAATGTGATTTGATTTATTTATAAATCAGTAATTTCATAATGAATTATTTATTTTCACTACTCTTATTCGTTCAGTAATTTGTGGATGGGTGGTCATACAAATATAGTTAAATCTTGATAATCGATACGTTGTTAGTTCAATTGTAGAATGCTCGCCTACCACGCATGTGGTCCTAGTTCGTTTCCAAGATGGACACACTCTTAAACCTCACCCTGATTTAATAGCCAATAGTGAGTCTGGAAAAGAGAGGAAAGGCTTGAGTACGCGGCGGCTAGCTATCTCACCTAAAATACAACACAACACACCAGTTTCACTGGAACTTCGAAGTTCAAGCTTGCAGCCCTATGTGTTCCACTCGGAAAGCAAAGGCATGAAAAAGACTTGGTAGTCAGTTAGTACTACAGGTTTCGACAGCTGTTTAGATCACCTCAATCTGGCTTGCTAGCAAGCACTGATACTTTATATGAATGGTACTACTCATCCCAATCAGTCAGTAGTATACAGTTTTAGACATTTGGGTTTTGGCATTGTTTTCAATTTGTAATAGATTTCATTTTTATTTTGCCGACAATCAGGAAAGATAATTTGAAAATTTTTTTCTTTCTGCGCCCCGCCCCCCGCGCCTGAAACTACTTCCTCAAAAATATACTCTACAGTCATCCTCTTAACCAGTGAATGAGTCATCTGAAAATGGGGTTTTTAAGTAGGAAAGAAAATCAGTTTTTCCTCCTCTGTGTTTATTCTTATTCCACGTGTCAGTCAAACAGTGTACTTAAGGAAGAAGAAGAAGAATGATAGATCTAAGTGGTTATCAACATACTACATAAATCCTGCCTTCACTATCTCCGTCCTTTCAAAGACTCCCATAGATATGTAATTCTCTATGGCTTGCTATGAATCAACACTTAGGAAACTGTGAATACATATATGGCCCTTTTGTCTTACCACGATAATAACGCACAAAGAAATATTCATTTAACTGGTGCACTGAAACCAACTATTTCATGATTTTTGTCCATTTTTTCTCAAGTTTTAGATACGCTAATCATAGATGTTGCTATGCAGAATTATTATTTAAACCAGTTACCACTAATTGATGGATAGTGTGATGTTAAGATATTTAATAAAACTTTTCGTGGTACATATTACTGATTTGTTCATATAAGTAGTAGTAGTTGGATACCATTCACATTAACCAGTTGTGCTTATTGTTCACACCGGGAAGCTGTTTCACTCGTCTGTAATCAAGTCTATCAACTTAGCTGAGAGAAATTAATCCTAGTTAGCCTGCTTGATTGCCCTTGTATATGGTGTCAAGTGGATCATATACATATACGACAGCAAAAATCCAGCACTATCTGAGATAAGATCTACAGTACTATTTAAAAATAATAACATATAAAATGGCAAAATTAGTTGAACAATGCTGTTGGGCAGCTAGATAGATAGATCACACAAGTTTCCAGTACAAAATGAGTATTGTAGATGTTTGCACAGAAAACCTACTTTCACTGGACAATATACTCACTTCCTGAGCTTCATACCTCTACAATACAAACGTAATCTGGTTAGATGTCTGGTTTGCCGGGCTAGCTAGATTTATCTGTTCAAATGAGACACTGAATGAAGAACTCGGTAATATTCGTGATCTACTAAGTAAAAACGGGTATCTAACTAAATTCTTGAATAAACACATGAACTCAGAAAGTAAAAAGTTGAAGGTTCCCAAGATTACAATTCACAACGTCTGAGAAGGCCTTTCAAAAGGACTTTCAACGCAGCTAAGCTATGCTGTATATTCACTAGCCGACCAATACTTAGTTCAAGAAATAGAGTCAGACTGCCCTTTTTCGCCTCTTCCATGTGTATTTACCAGTTTATCTGCCCGTGAGGTGGAGCTAGTTACATTGGACGTACGACCAGACAAGTTCATCGTCGAATTTCTGAACACCTCCCATCTTGCTTCGGCAAAGGTCCGAATTAAGCTGTTCGCAGTTCAATACTAGCTCATTTCGTCGATACTGACTGGACATCAGGTCGACTCTAAAAAAGCTCTTAAATTTATTTATCGTATATCACCCAACCTCTCTCACCATGGTCTACGAGTACGACTTTTACATGTAGCATTCATCTGAACAAGCCAAATCTGTGCATCAGTTCAAAAGGAATTTGTACAGCTCCTTTCTTTGCCTTGGCCACTCACTATATAATATGTATTAAGTTTATAAAAACGATGTTTTCACTTCGCCTTGTAACTATCTTTTGACTTTGTTAATTTTTACAATTTCTACAATTCTAGCTAATTCTCTTAACTTGTTTGTATTTTACGTGATTATTCTGAGTCAGCCTATTCTTCTTAGTCATCATCGCTATTTTACAGTTTTCTTGATTATGTAATAACTTGTTACTAACACCTAAGAATCAACTTATCTTGAATTCCGTAATTAATCCATTTTCACCCCTCCTTTAATACTTTGATATCTTGTTACTAACATCTATTAGTTAATTGTTTTGATGAACTTTGACCCGTTGATTTCACCCCGCCCCCTGTGTCTATAACTGATTAAGTAAAATAACCGTTTGGTTGGCAATTGAAATTTTGATGTCAGCCGGTCAGCCAGCCTATGATGACGAACTAATTGGTATGGAATGTCTATTACTTTTTCGCTCAATCTGTTGTTTTTTTTTCGAGATGAAAGTTGGTTAGTCATAAATCAGCGATAAACAGCACCTCAGAATCAAGCAAAGTATTCACAACAGAGTGGGATTAAAACTCTTCCTTCACGAATCCAGCAACAAACACTTCTCACAGACAGTCCAATGTCGGAATGACCTTCACCCACTCAAACAGAATCACAGTCATAAAACAACACACTACTGTTATCATCACACAACCATAAAGAGAAGCATTAAAGAGGGATTTACAAGGACAAATTATAAGAATCAAGTCAACATATGATATGCGAACGTCAGGACAATGATAATATATAATTGGTGGATGGTGACTAGCAGTGGAATCCAGAATGCGCATTTCGTCCTATTTGGGACTCGTCAACTGGATGTACCTGCATTTCTCAGTGAGTGATGGTGTTCCCACCGAGGCTCGAACCCAGTGCCCATAGTTTCCAACGGCAAAGCGTTATCCACTAGACCACTTGGGCCACGAGAGCCACCTCTTGTGCAACGGGTCATATTGAAACTGTGCACTGGGTTCCAGTCTCGGTGGGAACATCATCACTCACTGAGAAATGCAGATACATCCAGCTGAAGAGTCCCAAATAGGACGAAATGCGCGTCCTGGATTCCACTGCTAGTCACCATCCACCAATTAAATACTAATTAAATGCCCTAACATAGTCGAAGCATCTGCTCAAGAAGCCGACATGTCAACCTGAGACCGAGCACTTCGGTTCAATCAATCGATGGGAAAAATCTAAAATTCAATTAAATCAATGGTAATATAGCCTAGGATAAAAGAGGGAAATAAGTACAAAGTTGGCTGAAACATCCAAATTAGTACCAGTAGTGTAACTTGATGGCTCATGATGTATTTTTGAAACAATTATTCGCTTACATAGGGGTAGAGAGGAGATTCACAGCAGTGGCTCACGAATAACTAGTTCGACTGTATAGTCGCTGAACTAAGCAGTGAGGTGAAATGTTGTGCTGGTCAGTAGTGGAATCTCATGGTTCAGCTTGTCAAGTGCATGACTAGCTATAAAGACACAAATACTCTTAAATGTGTTTCTGAATAATTTTGGTGAAATTTTACTGATAATTCCATTCCTTGTACGAAAATTGTATGTCGGTGGCTCAGTCGTGTAATACTCACCAACCTGTGACATGGTCCTTGACTCGATTCCCAGCTGGCGACGCACTTCCAAACCTCGCTTAGCCTATAATAAGAATGGTGAGGAGGGAAGTTTGGCTGTGAGGCTTGCAACCCTGCTCGGCGTAAAGGAATAACTCCGCTACTACTGAAACTTCAAGGCTCAAGCTTGAATCCCCCCACCCTCCTACGTTCCTCTAGGAAAGCAAATGAATAAAAATAAAATATACAAGAATATGAAAGAATTGTAGGTTTAATCTCATATATCATTTAGTTTATAATAATATTTAAACTTCTATGTTTCCTTTCTTTTTGTTTCAACACCTCTCAAACCCATTATAGATCGTTTAAAGCGCATTAATTCGGATAATTGGCGTCATCGGACTACGCATTTATTACAAACTGCTGAAGCTCATATTAAACTTTTATCAAATTTACTCGATGACTTAAAAAACTTTTCACCTGATACATCTGAATTTTCAGAAGGTAAGTTATTTCAAAAAACCAATGTACTTTAATATATCATAAATTCTATTTAACTTGTTATCTGATTATTATTATAATTCACATTTCTATTGGTTAGGTGATACATAAACTTTTGTTTTTTATGTGTCATATACTACTTATTGAAGAAAGATGTTGACAACCATTTATTTAAACACACACTAATAGTTCATATAGTATGTTGATGGTTTTGTGGTAGACCATATGGTGTGAGGGTTCGAATCCTCACCGATGACTCACTCCTAAACCTCGCTTAACCGATAGTAAGCTCAGTAAAGAAGGGAGGTTGAGCATGAGGCTAACAATCCCACTGTGTAAAAAAAAGAATAACACTACTGATACTGAAACCTCAGTATCCAAAACTTGAAGTTCAATGTTCCACTTGGAACGCAAAGGAATAGAATTTAAAATAGTTCATATATATGCTTTCCTGACATTACTAACGTCAAGCACATTGCATACTGTGATCTAAAAACTATCACTTTGGAGAAGTAAAACAATTGTAAAATGTCACTTTATGCTGTATATTCTGTTGGCATTTATGACAGCCAGTCTCTGCATTATTTGTCCTCCACTTTCAGCGACCAAACCTAACCTTCCTTTTTTACCGGACTCACGACTGGCTAAACTAGACTTAGGAGTGCATCAGCTGAAGATCTAACCGTGGACAGCGATCGTGGCTGGCCAGTATTATACAACTGAACCAGCCACGCATAATGATTTTGCTTCCAGCCATTGGTTTTTATCGTCTCGAGGACCCCAACCAGTCAGGAAGTCTACACCTTCCTACGTGGCTGGCTGGTTTAAACTAACTGTTGTGGATTTCATTCACTGATACGGCCATGTTTTGGTTTGACCACCACCACTCGCTCTTTTCCAACCTGATCAGTCTTATGTCAGCTTGTGATGAGAGCTGTCTGCTAGCCAAATCGGTAGACAGTAATTTACGTCAATATTTACGTTCCCAAGATTTGTCGTGAGAAAATGTGAACAAAGATTGATTCAAAACCGACCACAGCAGACTTTGCGTAGGCGGATGCAGTTAACATATAGAGGATTTGACATTCAAGAAACAGTCACAAATAGATGAAAGTTTAACTTTACGTGAGAAACAATCAATCGGAAGACTGTGTTTGTTTGCGTAAATATCCATAGTAATGTACATGAAAATATATATAAATATGCGTTGATTTCCTTAATAAATGATCTGTTGCCTGGCCCTTGTCTTCTGTTGTTACAAGCTAACATTGCCTGTTGTCGAGGTAAGCGATGGCTAAATAGACATGCGTAACACATGTCCTAATCATTTCAGTCGATGTAACTTCTAAAGGAAATCATTTAAATTAGGCTATATGATTTAATTTTCTTAGATTATTATTATTATTAATAAGTATGACTATGAATCACTGTTGGTTGTATTGATTAAGGATTAGTTGATACTGAGCGGTTGTTACTTATCCAATTTGAACTTTTGATAACTATTGTGATTAATTTGTTGGTATAATTAGTGCGTTATTATGATATGATCATATGAAGGACATTTGACTGTCACAAGAGTTCATATTATAAATCGAAAGACGTGTCATTTTTATGGAAGTGTGATTTTATTATTAGTGTTATTATTATTATTTTGTAAATAAAATCTTTTGAGATTCTCCAATTCGGATTGATACTAATAATGCTTGTGAGCTGAAATTTATTTAAGACTTAGAGTTATTGTATGTTAAAAACTGAGATGTGCGTCGGTGGTTTTTTTTATCGGTAGAATGCTGCTCGCCAACGATATATATGATGTCCAGAGTTCGATTCCCGACCGGCGCACACCTTTACCTACTTTAACCGTTTATAACCCCGACAAAGAAGGAAAGTTGTGCGTGGGGCTAACAATCGCATTCCGTAAAAACAACACTGCTACTGAAACTTGAAGCCCTATGTTCCACTCGGAACACAAAAAGAATTTAAATTTTTAGAAAAAAACTGAGATATTACTGATATGGTAAAAAGGGATATATTCAGTAATGGATTAGATATTATAATGAAAATTGTTTCTGTCGTTGATTCCTCAAAGTTTAGTCTCTTTTAGAAGTATCATATGATGTATTTTCTAATGTATTTAGCATGATAAAGAGATATACTTTTTCACAAAAAAATAACATTCACATAAAATTATTATTATTCTCTTAAGTTCCGAGTGGAACATAAGGCTTCAGCAGAACGTCTCCACTTTGTCCTGTTCTCTTTAATTCTCTTTAACTAGCTCCTCGATCATCCGTAAGCTCTCATCGCCTTTTCACACGCAGTCCCCTGCATACCACTCTAAGACACACATCCCATTGGACTTCTCCACTAGAGCGATGGCCTGGCAAGTGATGTCCCTCAACGGTCTCCTCAGTGTCCACCCGATCCATCTGCATTTTCTTCTGGATGCGTGTCCACTGAGGAATCGGTGGTTGTTGGTTTGTTTGTCACACTACCGAGTTCCTTATTTTAATCCTTTCTGACAGGCCATCTAATCTTCAGTATGCAGCCAGTGAAGGCAACGGATTTTCGTGCCCCGCGTATTTCAAGTCTATGAACCATGTAGAAGCACTGAATGACTTAACATTAGTGCTTACAATTTGAAACTTGTTTCTGTCTGCAAAAGATTTCCACAGTGACTTCAGATTAATGATGAAGATTTGCCCTGCCTTTCCGATGCTGGTTGACTTTGACATCTTCATCAGTGTCGTCTTTAGTTTTTGAACGATGCTGCTTAGATAAGAGAAAGGAGTGAATTTCTTTAAATTTCTCCTGGTGATAATTATTGGTGCTGGTTGTTTTTGTTGCTATTGTTGGTTGGTTGGTTGGTGGATGTCTTCATCACCTCTGTATTCTCTAGTGCTCATTTGCAGTTCTGTCTTCACCGCCTGCCTCTTCTTCCAATTTGTTATCTTTAACCTGTAGACCTTCAAGTTTGTGTGATATTAGACACAAATCATCCACAAAATTCCAGTTTTTCTAGAGTCTTCTTGTCTCTCCAAAGTATTCCTATCTTCTCGCTGTCACCTGCTCCAACCCACTACAATCACGTAATATACACATTTGATCATAGGGAATAAGAAGACAGTTGCAGCGAAGAAAATTTTCCTTTCGATGAAGTCATCATCTAGGCTGTACATTCGTGTATTTATATCAAATGGATGGGAAAGTTCCAGAACAATTTCTGGTTAGGGGTTGAATTAATAAAAATTACAATTAGGAATTAGAATGCTATAATAAACAGGAATATCATCGTCGGTGGCAGTAGGCAAACAGTCTTGTTTTACTCCTGTTTTCACCTTCGTTGTGAATATTTTGACATGTATTGTCATCAAATAGCTGTCTGTTGAATGAAGCTGTCAAATGTGTATATACAGAGTACACATTTGCCCCTTATACAGAATGCTCAGGTAAAATAATACGTGATAATATTATCTGAAATAATAGAGATTTTTTAGTTCGATTGGGTAGATGATTTTGATGTAACTGCATTCTCTGAGCTTTCCTTCATTGTCCTTCTAGGAAAATAAAGATTTTCAGGATAGAGAGAGAGATACATGGGCAGTTGTATCATTCACATGGAGAATTCAAATAATTTTGGTTGAACACTAATTAGTAACTAGTGTATTTTGTATCTAGTTGTCAAGAAACTTAACCCTAAGTTCATATTATTTGCGAAGACGCTCCGAGTCGATAATTACTAGGAACGATTATCGACTTTAACTCAAAAATACCAGGACTTGAAATAAGAAATTATATTCTTCGGCAGATAAATTCGATATCATTACAAAGTCTGTCAACAAATGTTTTACAAGGGAATGTATTGTACTTTTATTCGTATTCTTTCGTCTTCTTCCAACTTGTACACGATTGAATCATCCGCCCCTTCGAGTTGCCCGCCAATGGCGACCAAGGCCAACGAACCAACGTTCAATGTTCACGTTCATTTACAGTAGTCCTTTTTTTGTACAAACTGAATTCTATCCGTCAAGTTAGCAATGTGGCCACCATGCCACTAGGTGGCTCACCATCACGGTGCACTTTGAATTGTTGATATTAGGTGGTTGGAGACAATCGACAGGAAGCCTTCAACCTAGATTTCGTACTTATTGGTACTCGTCAGCAAGGCGTATCTGCAGCCTTGAAGGAATTTATGTCTCTTATGACATTTGAACCTGGGTCATCCACTGATTCATTTAGAGACGTTCCCACTGAGCTGTTTGTCGTGGTCAAATTAAACAAATTACTGATAGAATTCAGTGTATACCAGCATCAAGAACTAGGCACATGACATTAATTACTACTTAGCATCCAGCCAAATTATCCAATACAGTTAGCACTACAGGAGTTTAATCACGAGGCCGAATAGTTCAATGGTAACGCCTACGACTGCGGCACTGGGTGGGGTGAGTTTGAATCTCAGAAGGAAAATGAGTTCCTTCAAGGTTTCAAATACGCCTTGCTGACTGGTGTGGGTGCCAACTACCATGAAACCTAGTTTCACGACTTCATTTGGAATACATCCAACCATGTAATATCCAGAATTCAAATAAAATTCACTTCATCATATTGAAGTTCACACTGCAGTGATGTGTTTAGAAGAAGGACAATTAGGACTGCTTTGAAATTAAACCAACGCCACCACCTAGCTGGCAGTACGGAACCACACAGTACTGTTCTATCCAAAACACACCACCGATACCCTACAACATGCACTCATCTACTTCTACTTTGAATGAGTCTGTGGCGTAGAGGTAGAATGCTTCCCAGCCACTCAAGTGGTCCGAGGCTCGATCCCCGACGACGAACTCCCAAACCTCGCTTAGCTGGTAATAATCCAAGCAAAAAGGAAGACTGGGCGTGAGACTAGCAACCACTGCTACCGGAACTTCCAATCTGTAACTTGAAGCCCTAAGTTCCGATGGGAACGTGAAGGAATAAATGAAAATAAAAATTTCTCCTTCAAGAAGTTCATAGCTATAGATTGAAACTTACTTTAAAAAATTGGGCATCAGTACGGATTACTACTATTTACAGACGATGTATATTTGGAGCATTTTTCTAACTAAGAAATGATGTCACCCAGTGATTTAAGCTGACAGTCTTGCATGACGTTTATGGTTCCAAAGAAGGCAAAGAATATAAGGAATAATTCAAATTATGATTGATAGAAATCTCCAAGCTATTACCAACAATATCTAATTATTACTTTATATAAAGTTAGAAGCATATAAGTAGTATGTTAACTTAGTCAAGATAGTTTAGAGTTATTTTTTAATTTTGTCGAGAAAATGTAATAAATTGTAATAAATAATTAGAAACAAAAAGTGAGGGTTGAGTATGTATATATAAGTGCTTCAAAGAAGAGGCTGTCATTCACACACACACACACGCACACACTCGAGGATGCTGTATCACTTACTGATGGTGTTTCGAGCACAGTTTATTGTTTAAAATCATATCGTTTTCACATGATTGCCATCACGTCACATCGAGTTGTTAACACTGCATCACCGCATGTTTTGTTCTAATCAACGAAGTAAAATTACTCTATAATGGAATTGTATACTTTACCATAAATACATATAGTGCTCGAATTCTATTTTTTTTTTGTATTATATACTAAGACTGTCATTCAGGCACATAGATATGCACTAAAATGATCTTGTTAACTTGATTGATTGACAAGTGTGTGTTGTGTGCAAAAAATGTGCACGTTTTTTTATTTTATTTTATTTATAGGCTTCTCTTGCCTCAATTGGCTGTAGACAGCCTACATAGGATTAATGGAATAAAAAAACTATACATCTTTCTCTTTCTAATTCCACTCAGAAGAAGTTAGAATATATATAGAGACAATAATGAGTGAGTTGTGGTAGGAATAATCTACTACTACCACCGACACGAAAAGAAAGTAGTTATTTGTTATAAGTTTGGAAGAAACCATGACTATTCTCATTTTTTTATATCTATGTATTCAAAGGGCTTCAAGCCTCAGGTTTGAGGTTTCAGTTGCAGTAGTTTTATTTTTTATGGGATGGAGCCGGTAACCTCACGCCTAACCCCCCCCTCCGTCTTTACCGGGCTTAACTATCGGCTAAGCGAGGTTAAGGAGGTCGTTTAGGGCCAGCGTTCGACCCCCATACCGCGTGAAATGTGGTTGGTGGGGATTTGACTGCTACACCACCGACGCACCATTCTCCATTCATTGTGACAGCATTTACTTCGCCAATAACATAACAATATATTCTGTTTGCTTGTCTTCCTACAACCCATTAATCTTAGTTCACTTTTATCTTCTACAGTTTGGTTTGTAAGGTTTAGTTATGTTTTTACGAGTTGATCACACATTGATATGAGTTACAAACCAAACTACAGAAAATTAATCTAATGCTCGCTAGTGACTTGCTACAGGATGGAGTTTCCTGGAGTCAGTTCTAGTGAGAAGTCGTGACCAGTGAGGTCCATGCAGATGTCACGTGTAAGGATGGATGTCCCACCGACGACAATAGTTGGGGTCGCGCTAAATCACGAATTGGTAGAAGTTAGAATTCATGGACTGACCAATGAATCGGGTCCCAGTGGTTGAATGGTATACGAGCCAGCCAGCTTGCCTTGTAACCGGAAGGTCCTGATTTCGAACCCTGTGATGGGTACTACCGATGATTCCCAGACTAGGATGAAACATCTGGCTGTCCAGTACTCCCTGGTTTTCAATGATTCTCTAACTGATATCAATCCGTGATCAACTCGTAAAAATCACTTTTTCTCATTTCTTTGCATTCCAAGTGGAATATTGAACTTCAAGTTTGGAAGTTTTAGTAGTGGTGTCTTTGTTATTTCGCTATGGGATTGTTGACTCCACATCCAGTCTTTCCTTTTTTCTCGAAGCTTGCTATTGGCTAGGAAACTAGGTAAGGTCTATGACTGCATCATCTGGGGAAAGAGGGCCGTGGACCACTTGCGTGGGTGGAGGGCATTGTACCATTGAACCACGGATACACTTCTTAGCTCACCTAATTGGTTTCCAGGTCACTTCTTAGTGCTTTCTCGTAGTCTTTTTCCTGTATAGGCTGGTTAACTAGTATTTTACGGTTAAACCCTCTTTATAAACACTTACCAAATCTTCCTTCTTCTTGTAAGCTGATGATAAATAAATAGTTCTTTAAGTGCCAGTTGTAGTGTTTATGCCTTCATGTTGGATACTCAATGTCGCTTCCTTAAGCTAAAATCTTTATGGCTAATTACCGCTGAGTAGATGTAAAAACAATGTGAGCTCTTGTTTCATTAATGCTGTGTATATTGTATTTTGTGTCGATGGTTCATTAGTGTAATGCTCGCCAACTACCCACATAGCCCAGGGTTCGATTCCCGACTGGTGACTCACTCCTAAACCTCGCTTAGGGAGGGAAAAGTAAGATGGATAGCTAAAGAGGGAATGTTCAGCTTCAGGCTCCCAAATCCACTACATAAGAAACAATAACACCATTGCTACAAAAACTTCAGAGCTCAAGCTTGAAGCTCTACTATGTTCCACTCGCAACACAAGGGAATAAAGTTGAAAAAAGAATGTTGTGTTTTAGGCTGTCTACAGCTGAGAGAAAGGAAACCTTAGAATAAAAATGAGGACGCCTCTATATTTTTAAATCTTATTGTTATTCCTTTCACAAAAAATGACCAATGCGACAGGATCTTAAAGAATGTAAAATCTTTCTTTCTCCTATTGTCCTAATTTCTCGTGATAATCACTATTTTCTTTTTTAAACATTTTGCTTTGTGGCATTTTATCTCTTCAAAACTCACCAGTCATATTTCAATTCCCCGCCCCACCTCCTTTTTTTTCTTCTTTTAATCTTAGATGACCATCCGTATTCATTTATTGAAGATTTGACAAGAAATACAAGTAATAATTCGAAGAGTGATCATCTTCATCGTCGTCATAATAATACTAATAATAACAATAGTGTTGATATCCATTGTCAACAATCACAGAATCAATCGTCTTATCAATTAATGATTTCTGAAGCAATGAAATTAAAATCTCAATGGGGAAAATTTCTATCTAAAGTACACTGTATACATCATCAATCAAATCAATATGAAATATGGGAGAAACAACTGCGCCTATTACAAATACGTATGCATGAATTAAGTCGACTTACACGTGTAATTGGTTTATCAATGGATATGTTTAATGATGGTTGTTGTCATCATGATGACGATGATGATGATGGCAGTGACAAGACTGTAGATGATCCGAACACTTCTAAGTTATTTAATAATGCAAAACAATTGGATCGAATCAGTTGTGGGCTTAAAGTGAGTTGTGTTCAGTGTTACTTTTAATCTGTATAGTTTGTGTATAATAGAAGTTGAAGTCTTGATTGGATTTAATCGATCATTTAAGATAAGTCAGGTGGTGTGAGGACACTGACTGGCGGTGGCGCTAAAAATCGCGAATTGATTCACAGAAGTCAAAATTCATAGGCTATTGGATACCATCCTAGTGACTGAATGGTCAGCGAGCTCACCTCATAGCCTTGTAACGACAAAAGACAAGAGCAAGGCAACAGATTGTTGATTGAGAAAATCAAGAGGTATTTATAGATTTTTATGTACATTATTATTAGCTTTACTGTTAGCGGAGAAGCAACCTCTTCTGATTGGTTGTTTTCCTGCCGAAGGTTATTCTGTCATCTCCTTGTTGCCGTTTCTTAGACAATCCGGTGATATATCTGCGAACTGTATCCACCCACTCTAAGTCTGCTGTGATTGGTTGTCGAGTTCCTCAAGGTTAAGCTTTGTTCTTGTTTTTTCTCATGACCCCGATTTCAAACGTAAATATTTACGTAAATTGCTGTCAACAATTTCGGCTTACAGACAGCTCTCACCACAACCTGAAGGTCATAGGTCCCATCGCTAGCCGAGTGGTCATGGGTGAGTACTACTGAAAACGAAAGAGTTTCAAACTAGGAGGAAACAGCTATCCAGTACTCATGGTTAGGGCTAAGTGGTTGTCTCATCGATATCACTCCGTGGTCAAACACTTGTGAAGCCAACCAAATTCCTACAAACGAACAGAGAGACTTGGCGCACGTAAGGCAGGTAGCAAATTTTCATCAACAGCTGCTTTCGCCAGTTCAATATTAAAGAATAGACAGCCAGTCAGAGGTGATAAGCAACCGGGGTTCCTGGAAACGAATCAACCAGGAATTTATTGCCTAAGAAATAATTTTAAGAAAATAGGAGCGAATCAGAGACATACTGAAGAGGCTGTTGATTGAAATCACACACCAGATAGGTCATCTCTTGGGTGGAACCCCAAAAAGGAAAAGACGAGTTGGATGCCTGTCCGAGGTTGACATGGGATAAATCTTGTAAGAAGAAGAGAAGAGCTTATCGGCAATCGTGTGCCCTGTTAAACAGGACTGCAGAGAAGAGTATTAAATGGAATAGAAGCCGTATATTCCACTCAGAACCTTGAGGGAATAATAACAATAACATCTTTCAAGTATTCGTATTTTTTGTAGGGATGTTTCTTGTTTGATTGGTTGCAGGATTTCGTCATGAGCTGATATTGGTTAAAGGACCATTTGGAAACCCACCAGGGAGCACTTGACAGCTGTTTCGTCATAGTTTGAAACTCTTCATCAGCAAGCACCCACTGCCAGGGTTCCAACCCACAACCTTCTAGTTACAAGGCTAGCTAGCTGGTAGACCATCAAGTCACCGGGACCCGAACCAATGGCCAACCAGTCCATGAATTTCAACTTCTGCCGATTCATGATATAGCGTCACCACTTCGCAATATCTTCTTCGATGAGTTAGTTACTACCTCACCTTCAACCTACTGCGCATTACTGAAGAGTTTCAAGCACTGAGACGAAATAGCTGACCAGTACTCCCAGTTGGGTTTTCCAATGGATCTCTAACTTATGCCAGCTCATGTTGAAGTCCTCCAAACAATAACATCTTTGCTGAAAGACTTTGAAGGCAATGTCAAGAGAAACTTTCATTCATTGATTTGAACATTCTTATGTTGATATTCATCATCAAGAATGATAAATTCTACAGTATCATAAAACGACATAAAAGGACATCATCAGGCCTGATGATGAAATACATATATTCACGATAAAGTCTTAAAGTTTGATTGATGAGCAATCTTTTTTCTGATCTCATTTTATTTTGTTTTTTTTTATTTATTTACTTAATCTGTGAAACACAAAACAAAATGAAATAAATATTTAAAAAATGGCAAAATTTAACTTCACTCAATAACAACAATGATAATAACTGCTCATCTGTGTGAGTATTCTACATTGAATGTATGCATATATGTAAGTAGGTATCTTTAGAGATTTATTACGTAAAAAAGTATAATAAATCAAAATAAACACATTGAATGTATTTATCTACGTGTGTTTACTTTGAGATAGTGGCTGGCCTTCTTTATTCTGTCTTCTCCTTCACCTCTATGATTTATAGATGGTGTTCATGGTGTTAGTTTTTACTCAAGAGATTGAATAAACTCAAATTTACACAAATAATTAATTCAAGATGTCGAGCAATAAGCATTTGAAAAGACTGGGTTTAATGAGCAAAGAATATTGTCGTCGATACTGTCTTCTTCATTAGGTTTTACAGTTATATATATATATATATCTGTGATCATAATAGCTGGAGAATTATTCAGGTATTGGTTTGTAGAGATTTGATTCGATTGGTTGCAGGATTTCATCATGTGGTGACATCGGTTAGAGAACCATTGGAAAACATGGGAGAATTGAAGAGCCCCAAACTGGGAAGAAACAGCTGTCGAGTACTCCCTGACTAATCAAATCAAATCCCTACAAACCAATACTTGAATATCAGTGAGATGCTTACTAGCGATTGGCCCTATTCAGGTAGGTAGTTACCTGGGGTTCTAGTGGGAAATCGTGACCACTAGGGTGTAGCAAGTCAGGTGTGAGGACAAATACTCGCCGATGATACTGGCTAGTGGTCGTGCTATGTCGTGAACTGGCGGAAGTTGGAATTCATGGACTGGCTGGCCATTGGATCGGGTCCCAGTGGCTTAATGGTATACGAGCTAGCTCACCACTACAACCAGAAAGTCGTGGGTTGGAACCCTGGTGGTGGGCGCGTACTGTAAAGAATCCCAAACTATGCTGACGAAAGAGCTGTCCAGTTCTCCCTGGTGGATTTTCCAATGGTCCTCTAACTGATGTCAGCTCATGATGACTTCCTGCAACTAATAAAGAATTATTGTTATTCAAAACATTAATGTTTGAAAAACTATTGAATCTTTTCATCTGAATGGATGACAGTTTAAAAATATCTCTTACTGATAATATGCATAACAATGTAATATTGAACTAAATATAAGATAAATTAAGCAAAGTAATGCCGAATTGATGAATTTATAGGTTTTGCGGAAGTCCAGGTTAGCAATACTGACTGAACCTGTTTCTTTCACACACACAGAGAGAGTGAGAGAGCTCAGGTTGTTTCAGGAGAATTGCGATAACCTCTGATGTTTGCAGTGTTCGATATCTAGAGGTTTTATTCGGTATTTGATAGATTATAGAAAAAGACTTCTGGCATTTTGACGTCTTTGGACTAGGTGATCTAATTTAGAACTTTTAATAGTTTTAACTACACTTGTATTTAGCCAAAACACTGGTAGGTGGTGTTCCCAAGCAGGAGAAATTAAGTTCCTAGAGCAACAAATGGTCAATATTAGTAACTCCAGAGGAGCAGTTGAATTGACAGATGCAAATAACAGGCGGCTAGATCCTAGGTTGATACTTCGTCTTTCAGTTGAGCAATCACAACCAATCGTGTGGAATTAATTCACAGGTAGAATTAAAGATATTAACATCAAAGATAAAAGTACGTTATCCACTGTGGACGCAACATCCACAAATTTACCGGTGATTGAAACAGTCATTTACATATGTGAATGAATAAAATAAATGACAAGTCAATAAAAATACTGCAACCCCAGTAGAAATCCTTAAAGTAATTGTGACCGCAAGTGTGTACTGTGAATGTAAATTTTAAATTTGATGGCAAATTCTAGAGATAAGTGGATGAGTTGACACTTGGTTGTCCATTGGATCACCATGTCAGCGGATTTCTTTCTAAGTAAACTAGAAAATGGGTTTTTTAAACAATCCAAATACTGAAACACTCCACAGACTTTGGGCAAACTGCAATTCACCATAAACAATCTGAGCTTTGTGTGTACAGAATAAACAGAACAGGTCCAGCTAACCAGTATCGCTAACCTGGCCAACTGTAGAACGTATAAATTCATATATTCTCTGTTATTTTCCTTCTTAATTTATCTAATATTTAGTTTAGTATTACATTTGTTATGCATAGTATCACCCACAGATGGCTTTGAACTGTTTTTTTTCCTTCACGTCCCCCAGTGGAACATAGGGCTTCAAGCTAGAGGCTTGAAGTTTCTGTAGCAGTCTTTATTTTACAAGATGGGGTTGCTAGCCTCATGCCCAACCTTTCCTCTTCACCAGCATTATTTCTGGCTTAGCGAGGTAAAGGAATACGTCGTTGGCCGGGGTCGAATCCCGGACCATGTGCATGGTCGGCGAGCGTCCTAACAACTATGCCACCGACGCTTTGAACTGTACTTCATCGATATTATTCATTGATTCAATGTTATTTTGGGGAAATAGCAATGTTGTTATCAACAAAGGCTGTTCAACTACCATGGATATATAACTGAAGAACTTGATGAAAAAGGCTTTACTGGAAAAATATTTTTCAAATGCATATTTTAATCTCTCTTTCTCTATCGTCTTTATTATTTTTCTTTTCTTTCACAGCGATGCTTTTCAGAGTTGGACAGTCTGAGTTATGCACTGAATGAAATACAAAGTGAATTAACTGAGAATTGTCGAACATCAGTGGACAGTAATAATAATAATAATAATTGTAGTACTAATGACAACACTCGTAATAATTCAAGTATGCTGCCTAGTTCAATGATAAAATTGGATTCCCAATTACTCCATGAAACTGATCATCTATTAAGCCAATTAGCTACCAACAGATCAATGTAAGTAATTTAATGTTTTGTTTTTCCCGCTTTTCTGTCGTTCCCACTTATACACCTCTGGTTTTGTTGTTGCTGTTGTAGCTCACTGATTGAAATACTGTATATCCTCTGTTGTCAAGATACTTAACCCTAAGTTCCTATTGTAACAAAGACGCTCCGAATCGATAACTACTTTGACATTCTCGACTTTAACTCCAAGACACCAGTACTTCATTAAGAAAGTTGTATTGTTTGGCAGTTAAAGTGAGGATAAGTACAAGTCGATTCTTTCGTCTTCTTCGAACTTGCAAACGATCGAACCATTCACGCCTTCGAGTTGCCCACCAATGGCTACCAGTTCCAATAAACAAACGTTCAATGTTCACGTCCATTGATATCTTTATTATCCTGTCTTGCATAATAGCCAGTTAACTAATGATTAGCACATCTAATGATATGAAATTTCATGGCCTTACTGACTTTATTCACTTCGAGACAACCAATAAAAATAAAATTAGTAGTAATAATAACAATGTTGGGTAGTTATTTTGTGAATGGTCAGTGGCAATGAGATCTAAGATGCCTATTTCGTCCTATTTGAGACTTATCGGGGCTGTATACACCTGTGAGTGACAGTGTTCCCAGTGAGTCACGAACTATGCACCCATCGTTACTTGGGCAACTGAACCACGAGAGCCAATCCACGTGCAATGGGTATCGAGTATGATGTGAAATGCGCATCCTGGATTCCTCCTCCGCTGCCAATCCCTTTTCTACCAAATGACATCATATTTTCCACCTCAGTAAATCGTCAAATGGAAACTGAACATCGTCTATCTAACTAGCATAATTAGTTAACTAATCAATCAATCATTCGGAAATACAAAAGTAGCCTAGAGAAATGTTGGATTGTGTTGCAGATAAACTTGTATACAGACAAGTAAATGAAATACCACCATAGTCAGTGATTTATATAAATATTAAATAATTAAGATTCTGAGTTTATTAGTAAGTTAAAAATTGTTTTAATTTCTGCAAAACTTGACCGATAGAATTCAGTTGGCACCGACGTCAAGGACTAGATGCATGACAGTAGTTACCACTACCTAGTGTCCAGTCAAAGTATCCATTACAGTCCTATAGGAGGTAGTCAACTGCGAGCTCGAATAAACTATTGGTAGTCTCTCTGACTGCAACACTGGGTGACTTGAGTTCGAATATCACAAGGGATATACGCTCGTTGAGGTTTGCAGATAGACATCGCTGACTGGTGAGTGCCAACAGGTAACAAATCTGCATTCACTGATTCCTACTTATCCCTTCCAAATGTCTAACAATAAACAGTAGTATCAACTTCAAGAGGAAAACAAACTTATAAAGGAATAGTACAGTCTTAATACATGATATATATTACTTAGAATAACACTTTTTTGGTTAACAGAACTGTGTTGTTTTACACAGATTGTTGATTTACTCAAGTGTCCTAATTATACACTTTCAATCCCCGAGACACTCCAGTTTAAAAATTATTGATTTCCAGGGATTTTATTGAGGATTTCAAGTCAGAGCAGGAATTGACATTGAAGCCCAAGAGTACCGGACAGCTGATTCGTTTTTATTATTGTTATTCCCATGGATTCAGCGCGGGATGAAGGGTTTCAACAGAACATCTCCATTCTACCCTGTCCTCAACAGTCCTCCCGAGCAGGCTCCATGACTGCTCATAATCTCTTGTCTCCTCCACGTCAACTTCAGACACCCGACTCGCCATTTTTCATTTGGATTTCACTTGAACGATGGCTTGGTGTACGGTGACACTGTTGAGTGTGCGTCCGATTTACCTCCATTCCCTTCGGAATATTTATTGAGCGATATTTTCTTGGTTGGTTCATTCCCATAGTTGTTTGTTGCTAATGCTTTCTGGCCGGCTGGCCATCCGATCTTCAGTATAGAGCCAGCTAAATAACTGTTATTGATTCGCTTTAGTTTGAAAATTTTTAGCAGTACGCATAGATGACACTACACCATGGATTGAAGCCAGGATCTTTAGGTTACAAGGTGAGCTTGTTGATGTTTCAACTGCTAGGATGGAATCCACTGGCTAATGAATTGTAACTTCCGTCAGTCTATTCACGATATATATATATATACATATATATATATATATATATATATAGCACCACTACTGGCTAGTGTCATCAGCGAGCATTTGTCCTCACACGTAGCTTAGTGTAACCCACTGGTGATGACTCCTCATTTCCTTCCCCGGGTCCTAAGTTCGATCCCTAGTATGTGAGTCATAGGCACGTACTGCTGAAGAAGATTCCCAAACTAGGACAAAACAACTATCCACTACTCCCTGATTCCAAATGAATCACTGTCTCATAATAATATTTTGTCTACCTACACACCTGGTGAACAAAAGCATGTGCTCAGTATATTTGAACATATTGTCCAGCTGTAAGATTCCATATTGTGTGTTCTGAGATATCTGTATTAACTATATTTACGTATATTTCCATTTTCCCAAATATGATTTTTCTTATTGTTTCATTAATTTCTATTTCATTTCATTACTGGTTGTGGTAGCATGTCATCATATTATAAAAGCATGCCATACAGATATCTCTTTGTTCTGCTTGACTAACAGGTATTTAAGCGTTTTGTTCAAGTTATTGTTCTGTTATTGTTTTTGTTGCTGTTATCGTTGAGTTTAGTTGAGTTGATTTGATTCTTTTGTTTATTATTAGTTTGTTGTTGTTGTTAGTTTTATTTATTTTTACTTAATTTGTTTTAATACACTCACCATGTTAATTATACATAATGCTACCTTTATATGTGGCTAAAAAGTCTAGTATCGTCTCTTGTCTGTTGACAGAAGGCATATTAAGCCAGCAGGCTTATACGGAATGATCTGAGTTATGTGGTACACTCTATCAAGCTGTGTTATTCCTTTACGTTTCCAGTTAGGACATAAGACTTCAAATCTGTGCTTTGAAGATTCAGTTGCAGTGGTGTTTAATTTCTTAAAAGATGAGATTGCTAGCCCTGATGTTCAGCGTCTCTTCTTTACCAGGCTTACTAGAGGTTAAGCAAGGTTTGAGAGTGCGTTGTCGGTTGGGAATCGAACCCCAGACCACGTTGGGGGTCGGTGAGTATTCCACCATTGAACCACTGATGATATGCGAATATTACGTAATAAAGACAATATAAACGTAGATGCTAACAGTGAAACTATCCAGTGAATGTGAGTAGAAGTTGACAGAATGACATAATAGGTAGTGGTAATAATAGTAGTAGTATAATACCAGTGGTGTTGACTGAATGAATGGCTAGTGTTACTCAATAATCAATTGTAACTCCATGCAGTTGACAATGAGCCACACCTATTGTGCGGAGGGCTAGTGATACTACCTGACTGCCCAAACCTCAGTAGGTGGAGCGGGCTTTGAATCCATGGCCCTACCGTTGGAAGTTGAGCGCCTAGACCGATGAGCCACATCTTCACAGTAGTAGTAGTAGTACTAAGCTTTCAAACTTATTCAGAAGGTTGATTTGAAGCATCTGGTGAATAGAAAGACTTTCCTCATTTATTCTGCTAAAAATGTGAACTCAGGAATGAGTTAGTTTCTTAAATGAAATATTGACACTGATGTCACTTTTTTACTTCGAATGTTAAGGCTGCAGTTTACTTTGAGTAAACTGAATAGTACATTTTGCATTTTATAAAGTACCTTTTTATATTCCTTTGCGTTCTGAGTAGAACATAGCAGGGCTTCGAACTTGAGCTTTGAGATTTCAGTAGGGGATAGGTTTGCTAGCCTCAAAACCGATCTCGCCTCTTTCCAAGGCTTACTACTGTTATGATGGGGTGTTGTTACTGCGGTTGTGGTTGTCATCTAACTTGACGAGAATGAGTCTCTCCAAGTCATGACACTATAACTAACTGATCCCTTGGAAATATTCCCCCACATTGAAGTAGACACAAAAGACAGACTTAACTGCGATAGCAATGCCAACTGCGACAACAACATTATTATTTCAAATACATAGTATATATATATATATTGACGGTATGACTTGGAAGGCTCTCCAAAAATAAATAGATCCAAAACTGTCCAGTTACGTTGACTGACTGGTTTCAGTGTAGAACTTTACATAAATATAACGCACAAAACAAGAGAACAAAGTAAAGAGAGAGATGGAGCAGATGGACCTACGGACCAGAAAGCACTGGACAACTGTTTCGCCTTTTCTGGGGACTCCTCAAGAATGCTCATCCACAACCTTACCACAGATCGTACCTAGAACCTTCAGGGGTATAAGACCAAACACATTGACCATTCAGCCACCTGGGCTGGTGGAATTCAATATGACCCCTGAATTCTAACTGTGTCGACTCGTGATATATAGCACTGCCCTCACTAATGACTTCAATGAGCATCCACTTCACCTTGAAATGGTGCACCCTACTGTCTCGCTGACTGATGTTGATTTTTGACAAAAATCTGACAATTGAAATTAATCCGAAATCCACACAAATCCTATAATCTGAATAATAATAACAATGAATTGTGTACAGGATTTCATCATTAGGTGACATCGGTTAGAGAACCATTGAGAAAGCTGTAGGGAAAGCTAGACAGCTGTTTCGTCCTAGTACTTGAGACTCTTCAGCGGGTCGGGCGTGAGGACAAATACTCGCCACCGTTGACATTAGCTAGTGGTCGTGCTATGTCATGAATTGGCAGAAGTTGGAATTCATTGACTGGCTGGCCATTGGATCGGGTCCCAGTTACTTAATGGTCTACGAGCTCTCCTTGTAACCAGAAGGTCCTGGGTTCGAACCCTGGCGGTAGGTGTGTGTTGCTGAAGAGTCCCAAATTATGATGGCGAAACAGTTGTCCAGTACTCCTAGTTGGTTTTATAATGTTTCTCTAACTGATGTCAGCTGATGATTAAATCCTGGAACCAGTCAAATTAAATCCCTAAAAACTCTTTTTGTGTGTCTGTTTTGTGTGTAGATTATTTCGTGTTATTTGATCCATATATATATGATGTTTTCGAAAATGTCTTTTATTTCGTATTCTTTTTTTCTTTCCCTACATATATTTAGTCTACAAAGATTAATTCGATTATTTGAGTCAAATTGTTCAAGTCATCCGACGCGTAAACATGATAGACATCAAGAGAATGTCATGGAGAAACAATTGGATACTACTACTAGCACTACTACTGAAAGTATTCTTCAGTGTTTACAAAATGAAACCAGTGAACTCAGTACAAATGAGGTAAAATGCTTAAGATTATGACAGTGATTTGTTTTCAGCCAAAATAGTGTTTACAAGTGCTGGTTTGCAGTGAGTGATCTGATTGCTTACAGGTTCGATCACAAGTTGACAGCCAGTTAGAGAGAACCATTGGAAGCATTGTCTGTCTACAACATTTTTTAACGATTTGGTTGATTAACAACACTCCACTCGTCTTAGTGCTGTTTGCAATGTAACAAAGTCTTTCTTAAGTAGGTCAGAAAAGATTAAATCGGAGGTAGGGAGCAGTAAAGAAGACGACAACGATGAAGAATAGGCAGTGTAATGAAAAAAAGACCGATGAGGCTTGAAGGAATGTTTTAGGTACATAAATTTGGTATACCATATCTCCAATGCTTTATTCGCACATCATTTACAAATTGGTCGAATATCACCACATTCCCTAGCTTTTTGGAGTCTGCAAAGTGCTTCTAATGTGTTCTTCTCACAGTTCTCTTCTTCGATTGCTTTTTCCAGTGTTTCGGAAACATATTGTTGCTTTTTTGAATTCGTTTGCTGATATACTACTTATATCTGATTATAAGTAGCACTCGTCACAGTAGAATATAAGAAGTAACAAAGTGTATATCACTTCCAATTAAGTGAAAAAGTGTATCATTGATATAAGAATAAAACTTGTGCACTATGACAGAATGTAATTCCATTACAGGTAAATTTTATTTTGATGTAGTCTCACAGCGTTATACAGTAATGTTAACTGATGACGTTTCGAGCACAATTCATTGCTCATAATCATATCAAGTTAATCACACGACTTCCTAAATTCATTTATATAGTTCCGTTTTTTTTCACTTGATTTTCACTTGATTTGATTGGTAGTGTTATTTTCCATATTTCGGGTATGAGTGATGAATCATTCCTATTGCATGAGTTGGGTGTAGATTCGATGAACAAAGATTCAGTAATCAACCTCTCTCTCCACCTACCTAGATTACTTTTTAGAATTTTAACCCTCTCCCACCCTATTGTGTGGTTGTGTGCTAATGCATGCATTGCAATTGCTGAGCTTTTTTCTAAATTACTTATATTCTCTGGGTCAACCATTCTTACCTTATCTAAATTCTTATGTTCTGACAATCTGACTACCCCTGACCTACTAGTTTGACCTATGTAGTTGACCTCACAGTCATTGCAGGGTATTTTGTACGTAGGATTCTAAATAAAGCAGGAATTAGGGTGGCATTTAAACCTACAAACTCACTCAGGTAGGACAAGCTCTGTAGGTTAAAGGACCCAGTGGACCCAATTAGACAAAATAATATAATTTACAAAATACCTTACAATGACTGTGAGTGAGGTCAACTACATAGGTCAGTCAAACTAGTAAGTCAGGAGTAGTCAGATTGTCAGAACAGAAGAATTTAACTAAGGTAAGAATGGTTGACCCAGAGAAGATAAGTAATTGAGAAAAAAGCTCGGCAATTGCAATGCATGCATGCAAAGTAATCTAGGTAGGTGGAGAGAGAGGTTGATTACTGAATCTTTGTTCATCGAATCTACACCCAACACATGCAATAGGAATGATTCATCACTCATACCCGAAATATGGAAAATAACACTACCAATCAAATCAAGT